TCTTTCTGTCACTACGTGGATAAGTGAATGCTGCGAACTCAACTGTGGATCATTTCAGCATTTGTTGCCACTGCAGACATGCAGTAACCGCTATGTCTTCAGTCAAAATTATACCTGCTTCTAATTATGACTGCGAAAATATGGAGATAAAAATTAAAGCTTGGGATAAGTTAGTTGTTTGAACAAGATCATCGAGAACCCCTGTTTTTCAGCATACAGAAATATATATTCGCATTAATAAATGACAGATAAATCACTGTAAAATTACAATATGAAACAAATCTGTAAACAGACCGATGAATAGAACTACCATAGTGAGCCGATCTACTTGAGGAAGGTCACATTATGCATAAACGAGCCATACCGTCTTTAGTGCTAAGGTTTTTCTCAATCCGAAGCTCTTGTCGAGAGCTGAACTGTTAAGTATATCATTTTAATGTTGTGGCTTAGCGAATGGCACGGAACAGTAACTGAGATCTTAAGACTCCACGTGATTAAAGTCGCATGCTCAATCAAGCCTTTGTCCGGATAAGTCTTCTTCGACTCTGGCAGTTGGAAAATTCAATGGTGGCATGTGTCTGACTCAGTACAGTGCTGTCGCTAAGCTTTGTGACATTCGTAGTTAAATGAACGCGACACCCTCTACACTGATGGTGGGAACTTGCAGTCAAAAATTGGAACATAACCTCAAACGGAGGTAAAGAGCACGAACTAGTTGATGCAACCGCAAGGTACCAACTCGCCATTATTGGACTTTCGTCAACGAAGGGCCAAAGCTCTGCAATTCGGAATATTTGCAAGTGGAACCTATGCTACTAGATCTCGACATTGCAACTCGTTATTACACCGGTGTTGGCGCTTCAGTAGAATCCAATACGGTTGACAGAATCAGTGAGCAGTGGAAGAAGGGCAAAACTCTGACTGAAGATATAACAGGCAAAAACTTACACCCTGTTACAGATCCATGCGTTCAATTTGGAGGAAAACTGTAAGTTCCTTCTGGATGAAGTTGAACGTGTTTTCTGCGACGTGCCGGCTGCAAAGTCCCTCATTCTAATGTGAGAATTTAAGTATTAATCTAATTTAAGGAAGGAGTACATGTTGGAGCAGCCAATGAATTTGAAAGACGCATGAGCGGCCCTAACGACCTCAGCAATAACGGCATGAAGGCTGTTGCGGTTTTGTGCAAACAACGGACCGTTTTTTATTAACACATGGAGCACTGAAGCGTGCATTAGGATACCTGGTAGAAACAATTTATGCGGAGGAATCAATGATCGATTTAATAATCGCATCGTCTGACTTACGATGCTGCGTAATGGATGTCCGCATTAAGAGAAGCAGCCGACCACCACCTCGTTTTTGATATGCTACGCTGTGAGAAATGGAGCACTACGCGTTGATTTGGTGGAAGTAGCAACCAGAGGATCAAATGGGAAACATTTTTTCCTGCAGATACCAAGGCGAAACTTGCAAACTACATCGCACAACGCTTTGAACACGTCCCAGTGGTCCCCACTGAGTGGAAACCTCTAGGAGAGGCTTAATTGGGGCTGCGATGAATGCTGCGACTTGAAACGGGTTGATCTGACGCATGGAGGTCAGAAACAAACTTCT